GGGGGGGGGGGGGGCACAGAAGAGTTTTAAGCAGGGGAAGAGCTTTGATGTGGGGGAGAATGGAGGCAAAAGAAGTCGCAGGCCCAGTGCAGTAGTATGAAGAGATAATGGTGCCTGTCAGAGTGGATGCTGTGAGGTACACAAGGAAAAGACACATTCTGCCCAGGAAGAGGCTTGGCAGGGGCTGGAATGCTGTGCTGGGCAGCAGAGGGCAAGGTGGGCTGAGAAAGGAGGGCCAGGATGATCCTGGTGAGGCTGGAGGTTGGGGCTGTGTGGAGGGTTTAGCTGAGACCTGGTCCTGTGGCACTGGTTCTGGCTGCTGCGCTCCCACGTGTTCCAGGGAACTCCTGGAGGACGAGTGTCGCACCTTGGAGAGGGAGATCCCCATCCTGCAGGTGAGCTGCAGCCCTGCCCCCACCCCCAGCCCTTCTACTGAGTGTAGACAGCCACCTCTCACCTGGTGTATGAGCCCATGTGCATGTGTCTGTGTGCCTACGTGCATGTAAAGGCTGTGTGAGTCCTGTATCCATTTCTCATGTGTGTACTTGTGTGTGTGTGTGAATCCAGAAGCCCAAGGTTCTGAGTGAGCACCTAAGTCCAAGGTCAGCACTTTTAGATTAACCTCCTGGATTTGTTCCCCTGTCTTTTGCCTTCTTCCTTTCCCTAAGTCTGGATCTAGGCCAGCCACCACCTCGCCAAACTGGGCTTTTTAGGGGGGCCAGAGTTCCCCTGGGGGCTGCCCTCAGGTGGTTGAGATGAGGGTGCTCGCATGGGCTGGTTCCTGGGCCCTGTCAAGGAGATCTTGGCCTCTGCATCCTGCCCTGGCCTATCCCACCCCTGCTGTGAGGCTGGGGCACTGAGCCAGCTCTCCCTACAGCGCTGCCTGGAAGAAGAGTGTACAGGGGCACGCCAGCCCTCTGAAGCAACCCTGGAGCCCACCCTGGCAGGTGAGGGACCTAAGCAGACCCCTGAGTACCCAGCCTCCTCCCCTCCCCTAGAAGAGCTGGGCACCGTGTCTGATATTCATCTCCTCCAGAGCTAAAGGAACAGAAGGCAGCCATGCAACAGGAGCTGCAGGCACCTCTGAGGCCTTCCTGTGTCTCCCCGAGCCACAGGTAAACTAGAGCAGATGGACGCTGCACAGGGTGGGCTAAGGGTCAGGCTATGGCCCTCTCATGGCTACTCCTTTTTCAGGCAGCAGCCCTTGGGGTCCTCCATCCAGGGCCTCAGACTCTTGCCTTGCCTCCATGGAGCTGCTGGAGTTTGTGCCAGGCCTCTCCAGCACTACCTACCTGCTCCTCCTTTGGAACACAGGCCTCAAGGCCTGGCTGCCACCTGCCGCTGGGGAAGGAAGCTTCAGTGCAGGCCCAGGAAAAGGCCAGCTTCCACTTCAGTGTCCAGTGCAGTTCCCCAGGCCCCAACCTGATGGCTGGTCACAAAGTAGGCTTTGGCTTTCACTGGAACTGGCCCCACCTGCTACTGCCACCTCTTAGTTCCCATGGTCCAGCCTGCTTCAGATCTAGTCTTAGATAGGACCCCAAGGCTGTCTGTCTGTCTGACCGTCATCCCACCCTCTTGCCAAGTCCCTGGTGTCTGGTCCTGACCAGCACAGCCTTTGGCCTTTCTCCTCCCAGGCCTCCACAAAAGCCTGATGAGTGTAGACAGTGCAGAGGTCTCATCCCAGCCCCAACTCTTGTCTCCCTGGGGGACTCAAACAAAGCACAGTAGCAGCTCAGAGACAGGAATAGAAATTTCATTAAAATCTATGGACTTTAAAATCCTAGTGGTGCACGGATGGGCAGGGGTGGGTGGCGCACCGTTATTGCTACAGAGAATTAGAGGCGGCTCTTCCGGGGCTGTCACTGCACAGAGGGGCACAGAGGGCAGACAAATGGACATTGCAGGGCTTGGGGGAAGGAGCTTTGGCTCCAGAGAGGGGATGGTGCACGTGGGCTGGAGCCATTTGGCACGTGAACAAAGGCAGCCCAATTTGGGAAGACTAGGCCTTTCGTCTGGTAGCTGGAGGGCAAAGGGTTGTCATGTAGGGTCCCTTCTCCAGAGCTCTGGGCTCAAACCTCCTGCTGAGCAGCACTCTACCCCTGACCCCCAGGAACTAGTGCTTTGGGCGGGCTGCTGAGTCACGGGCCTCTGCTAGGTAGGCCTGGCAGCCAGGGCTGCAGTGAGTCTCAGAAACTCCAGAGCAGCTGAGTGAGGTGCAGGCAGGCCTGGAAGACAGATGGGGCCTGAGGTTGGGGGCAAGGGAGTGGCAACCACAGATAAGACAATTTTTACAAAAATAATTACACAGACAAACAGGGCTGGGTGGCATAGACTGACAAGTAACACTGCACAGCCCCCTACTCCCTCACCCTGCCTCCAGGTAGGAAGACCCAAATTTGCCTGGGCAGAGGCTGGGGTCTGCTCTGAGGGCACAAGTACTGGTCAGGAGGCTGGAGGCCCAAGGACAGGGACAGGTAGGGGCCCACCCAGAACCTTAGCTCAGGGCAGAGTGTGGGGGCATCAGAGGCCACATAAAGCGAGGCAGGCCTCTGGGCACCTGGCCCGAGACCCCTTCAAAGTGCTTTGGCCCCCACCGGCAACCCTGCCTTCTCCCTCCCCTGCTCCCCCAGCTTCCATCTTGGCATCCAAAGGACCTGTAAACACTGGGGACACGAGCACAAATGACCGCACTAGCAGTGGTGGCCAGGGTGACAGCAGCTGCCCTGCTCAGGGCATGGCAGTGACACCTGTCCACTGTCTCCCCAGTCTCTGTGGTGGGAGCACAGGGTGGGGCTGGGGCACTCCCCAGCAGCTGTACTCATATCCGGGAGTCCTGCAGACGGCTGCCATTACTGCCCACCATGGGGATCTGGGCCTTGTCGGGGTGCAGTGGCTGGACCTCAAGCCCGTCTTCAGGAGAGGGCAGTAAGATGGGGGCATAGCGCCCAGTCCGGTGCTCCAGGAGGGCGGGGCCCCAGTCCCGGCTTGGCTTCGTGGCATTTTTCAAACGCTACAGGAGAGGTGGGGGTGGGGCAAGGCATGTCAGAAAGGAGCCCTTAAGCCCCATCCATCCACCCCTTCCCGGTTCGTCTGCTGCCCCTCCCCCACCCCTCACCTGGAGGAAGGTGTCCCCATCTGTGCGGCAGAGCTGGAACAGGGCGTAGAGTGGGATGCAAATGACGGAGGACAGAGCCATGAGGAAGCCGATGGCCACTGCCCAGCCTGGATACTGGTAGTGGTTATAGGTGATTGGCCGGTACTGGATCACCGTGAAGATGAGAATGAACTGCAGAGAGTGGGGGATGGGAGTGGGCATGAGGCCCACCCAGCCCCCCTATCAGCACCCCTTCCCTTCCTCTCCAGTTTCCTAAGAGAAAGCTATTTGGGGGAGAGCAGGGCCAATGTCAACGTTTGGGTGGCGGAAGAAGCAGATGGAACCAGGGGTCCAGGACGTGATTGGCAAGTACACACCATGGAAAGGAAAAGGTCTGGCTTCACCATAATTCTGAACCAGTCAGGGAACAATTAAGCTGATGTCACCTTTGGAAGTCAGTTCTGCTCAGACACTTGCAACAGCCTACTGAAGTTCAGACTAAATTCCTAGCCTTTTGGGCTTTTACTTTCTCACATCAAGGCCTCAGCTTATCTTTCTAGCCACATTACCGTTGTCTCAATGTCTCAGCTACACTCAGCATTCTCCACCCCTTTCATTTACTCTGGAGAATCCTCCGTGGCATCTTCCTCTGGCAAACCCTATCTGTGCAAATGCCACCTCCTCCAAGAAGCCTCTCCAGTCCTGGGCCGTGTGGTTGAGCACGGTCCTGTGCACGAAAAGTTTTCAGGTTCGATTTTCGGTCGGAGCACATGCAAGAGGCAATGGATTGATGTTTCTCTCACATCAATGTGTCCCTCTTTCTCTCTCTCCTTTCCTCTCTCTAAAATCAATAAAAAGGCCTATCCTCAGGTGAGGATTTAAATAAAGAAAGAAAGAAATGGTAAGAAGCCTCTCCAGATTTCCCGTCTCCTCCTGAAAGGCATTTTCCATCTGCTAAGCATTTGTTTAATGGTCCCCACAGGCCTGGGAGCTCCTGGGATTGCATCAGCTCTGGGTCTCCAGTGCCCAGTATAGCGCCTGGCACAATCTCATTTGCTGATTTGAACTGACTTCTGCAGAGAGGAGGGAGCAATGGGGGGAGGGGAGGGCAAAGGCCTTTGGTCTATGGCTGTGGACAGCCTGGGGAGGCTCCAAAGGCTAGAAATGTTGAGTGTCAGGCTGGGGGATGTTCTCAGGAGCCTCATTGGAAAGAGGTGAGATGAGAAATAAAGCCTGGCAGCTGCAGTAACATAAAAACTAAAGGAAGTAATAACTATGTATGGTGTCAGATGGGTACTAGACTTATCTAGGAGATCACTTCATAAGGTATATAAATATCTAATCACTGTGTTGTATACATGGAACTAATATAATACTGTATGTCAACTATAATTTAAAAAACTAGCCCGGCCAGCATGGCACAGTGGTTGAGCGTCTACCCATGAACCAGGAGATCATGGTTCAATTCTCGGTCAGGGCACATGCCTGGGTTTTGGGCTCAATCCCCAGTAGGGGGTGGGCAGGAGGCAGCTGATCAATTCATTGATTTTTCTCTCTCTCCCTTCCTCTCTCTGAAATTTAAAACCAACCAAACAAAAAAAAGATTATAAAAACAAAACTACCTCCTCTGGAACGCAGGCCTCAAAAAAAACTAAAGGAAGCAGAAAGATGACGGGCAGGTGGCTCATGGGCCACCCAGAGGGCCTAGTGTGTGTGCTGCTCCCCAGCAGGGCTCAGCATTCGCCTCCTGAGCCCTCAGCTGTGTCCTAAAGCTCAGGCTCCTTCAGCCTTCCCAGTGACCAAGTTCTGGAGGTCAAGACCCACAACCGGACATTGCACATAGTAGGAACTTAAAACAAGTTTCCTGAATGAACCTAGATCCTGATCTAGGTGTAGACAAATCCCTTATTTGAGCTGACAAAAGGATGGAGTTTATCAAAAAGAGCTTTTCAGAAATCTAAAATCATGTCCACAGACCCTGGAGTCCCCTTAAGGTTAACTTCAGCTGCTTTTCTTTGCACAGAGAGGGCACTGCCACTGTGCCTTACTCAGACATACTGGACCCGGGGTGAGGCTGCCCCCATGGACCCTCCTGGTGCCCACCTCCTCCTCGCCTCCTTCCCTGCCTATGCTGGTGCCCCAGCTCCCCAGGTGACAGCCTCCTAGGGGCTGTGGGGGATGAGCTCCACTCAGGCAGGGCCTGGGTCCCAGCGACCCCCCCACGGCACGGGGCTTGGCAGCAGTGCCCGCCCTCCCGGCCTCTCGCCACTTACAGGAGACTTCCGCTCCTCCTGTTTCAAGGCTGGGCCAGTGGCCAGAGCTGGTGCCTCCGCCAGGCTCGGGGAAAATCCCACACTCTATGTGGTGGAGGCTTCAGCCCCCAGGGGCCTTTTGTTCAAACACATGAGCCAAAGTGAAAACCCGATGCTGACCTGTGGCAGTTAGGTGTGACGGGGCGTGACTCCGGACACTGCCCTCGCCACTAGGCTGACCCCTGTCACTCAGAGATGACCTGCTGCTTCTCTGTGGAGTGGCCATTACACTATCAGACCCCTATGCCCCTGCTTCTCACCCTGAGCATAAAGGAGAACATGTAAAGGAAGCACCAGCTCCTTCCTGTGGTGGCTTCTAGTGTGGCACCGGCCTGGCGCACAGGCTCCAGACTGGGCTACCTGCTTCCGCCAGTGGCAATGCCTTTTTTTTTTAAATATGTTTATTGTTTTCAGAGAGAGGAAGGGAGAGGGAGAGAGATAGGAACATCAATGATGAGACAGTCGTTGATCGGCTGCCTCCTGCACACCCCCTACTGGGGATGGAGCCCACAACCCGGGCATGTGCCATGACCAGGAGTCCAACTGTGACTTCCTGGTTCATAAGTTGACGCTCAACCACTGAGCCACGTCAGCCGGGCTACACTGCCTTTTACTGGCTCAGTAACCTTGGGTCAGTTACTTAAGATCTCTGTGCCTCAGTTTCCTCATCTGTCAAGTGGGGATGATAATGATACCTTGGAGAATTATAGTACATGAGTTAACATATAAACAGTGTGCAGAAAGTGCCTGGTTCCTGGCCACGGTGGGAGTTCTCACCACCAATTCAGCTCCCAGATGGGGTTCCCAGGTGTTAGATATTGTTGGAAACCAAGACCTCCCCCTCCTGAGTCAGCCCATATCAGTGCTTGAAAGGTTTACAGGTCGCCCCTGATCCTGAGCTGACATCTGGCTCTTACAGCCTGCTTCTGGAATACTCATGCATTCACAGCACGGCCCCCGGGCACAGGAGCACCTCGGTTATGACGGATTGGAGACAGATGCTCAGTGAGGCTGACACCAATATCAATAATGGTTCCTGAGGCCCCTCCGGGGATCCCAGGGAGGGAGGGCCGACTCTCAGCTGCTGCCAGACTGCTTTCTCCTCCCAGGCTGCATGCTGTCTTCAGTCAGATTCAGTGCTCTGTGCTCCCTTCCTAACCCAAGGTCAAGGCCAGTGTGGCTCCGAGTCTCCACATGCCTGTCTAACTCTACGCAACCTCCCTTAGACTACAATGGCCAGATTTGGGGAGCCCTCATGGGAACTCTGGCCAGATGGATGGGCTCCTGCTCTCCCTCTGGTGGTTCCCTAGAGAAGGGCACTTGCCAAGAGGCGGCAGGGTGAGGGAGAGGCCAGCCCAGGAACTTACGAAGA